AGTTGAAACTTGGTCAGTCAGTGCTTCGAGTGGTCTGCCAGTTAGAAATTTACCAGGGGTGAGTGGAGCAATTCCATCGTCATCATTTGAGTCGAGTGCTGTGTAGAGTGGTCTAGAGTTGAGGCAAGCCTCGATTTGGCACAGAACAGTTGCCATCTCTTCGAACGCGAGTTTACTTTCGCCAACTATACGCTTCACAGGGGTGGATCCAGGATTTTACATGAGTGATTTGCACCAACCTAACTAGGGGGGTTTGGGGGCATGCTCCCCACGAAAATTTAAAATTCAGTGGCCTCATATATTTTTAGAAATAACAAATTCAAAAGATGCATACCTCTATATTCGTCGATAAGCCGAGATATTGCAGGCACAAGTTCGAAGTTCGTCGTGGACTTTATCTATGTAGTGGCTTCCCCAAAGGAGCGGTTTGTTGTTTTCGACGCGTAGTAAAACGGCTTACTGTTCGTCCTCATTGCCGGCGTCGAATTTTTCATATATCTTATCCTCATCCGCCAGTCCTGCAGTTTCTTCTGAGTGGATTGCTCCACCCTCGGTGCCGTCTGGAGTGTTGGAGTTTCTGTAGGTTTTAACCCTCAGAGTCCTAGCCACGCACATATGCGTGGAAAATTACTAGCCCCCAAGCTTTGCTCGTATCTCTCGTTCTGAGCGAGATTGGGCCTAGATATTTTTCAAAATGGCGGACGAAATCTAAATTTCGCATTTGAATGTAAAAAATTGTAGTTTTTCGATCAATTTCGCAATAAATTTTCAAAAATTTTCAAACACGTGTGAGATCAGTTAGCTTTTTAAAAATGGCGGCCGCTTCGGATCAAAATAATGCTCTTCTTGCTCAGAATTCGGTGCAAATCGAGTTTGTTGACGAAGATGATTTGCCTCTTGCCAATATTATGGAACACAGAGAGTCTGACGAAGATTTAGATGAAACCCTCATAAAATTCAAGGTTAAAATCTCTTTTCGCTAGTTTATTTCCATCAAGCCTGGCCGCTTCGGAATCAAGTGTTTTACTCTTGCTGAGGCTAGTTCTGGCTATGGACTTGTAAGCAAAGTATATACTGGGAAAGAAAATGGTGTGGTTTATAGCCAGGATCGGCTTATAACTTACAAGTACTCTAGAAACATTAGTGACTGTCTGGTACAAAAATTAAATTATTCATTTAAAATATTTTCCATTCTCATTCGTCTAGGATGTAAATTAGCAAATAAATCTATAATTTGTTCAAGGTCTAATTTCATTTCTCTGTGGGTATACATCAATGCCAAGCCATTCAGTCTATCCTGGACCATTGCATTTCTCAAATAGGTCTTCAGATTTCGGAGGGTTGAGATGGATCTTTCACAAGATGCAGATGAAATAGGAATGGTTATCAGGATTTGAAGTATTGTATACACATTCACATAAGCACCCTTGTCAATTTGTTCTAGGGTGGTAGCTATACTGTCAGGGATCTCTTCTCTTCTATCATTTTTGCTCTTCCACATTCTTTCCCACAACATAAGCTCTGCTGCTAAACCTGCATAATTAGGAAGATCTTGTCTGTAATGGTTACAAAATTCTCTAACATTATCCTTCCAAATGGGGTCAGTAGCCAACAAAATAGAAGGAATCACTGAAAATCCTTTATAGCACACAAAAACATCATCTTCAAATCTGCTGTTCAGTTGCATGAGAGCATGGTTAAGGAAGTCTGTTGTCAGATTGATCCTGTAATAGTATTCTGGGGTTGGGGCTGGCGCATTGTTTCTATGAACTTGCCTTTGATTTATCCTGGGCATGCTTGGCTGCACTGAAACAAGTCTTGCTAGAGTAACAGCTTCTTCATAGAGAGCATGGTGTCTAGTATCAATGTCAGTTTGCATGTCCCTTAGGACTGACTTCAACAGAACAATTTCCTCTTTTGCTTTAAGAAGATCCATTGCTTTCTTTTGCAGCCTAACAGTGAGTGGTCTGGTTAAGTCTAAAATGTGTCTCACAATAACAAGGGTAACAATAAAGGGAAATGTGATTGCATTAATTAGGGCTTGCGCATCATTTCTGCTGTTATGATTCCAGTTCCCACACCCAGGAGCATTTCTGTTCATGGAAATGTCTTCAAGGGTAGCCACAACTGGATGAAGAAGCTCCACGATTCGGTCCATACCATCAATGCGCTCGATCCACCTTGTTTTACACACATTTACCAAAACAAAGTGGTTGGCAGCAGGAATCAGTGCTCCAATCTTGCTGATCAAATGCTGCTGTCGCATGGGGGAATTGTCAAAAAATTCAGAGATTTTTCTTACAACATCCATCATGTTTCTAACAAGTGGTAATTGGCATGTGTCAGCAACACACAAGTTAAGCCTATGGTTCATACAGTGAACATATATAGCCTTGTCATGTTGAGCCCTAATAAGTGATGAAGCTCCATTCAAGCGCCCAGACATATTGCCAGCACCATCATAGCATTGGCCACGACAGTCATTCATAGATAGTCCTAAATCAGTTACAGCACTAATTATCAAATCTTTGATAGCTGCTCCTGTTGTTCCATCCTCACAAAGGTAGAATCCCACAAATTCTTCTCTGACTGTTTTGGTCGAATCAAGAAATCTGATCACCACAGAAAGATTTTCTTTATTTGATATGTCAGCTGCTTCGTCAGACATAATACTGAAATATTTGCTATCCCTAATTTCCTGTGACAAATTATTCACAATGATAGCACCCACAGTTGCAATCATTTCATTTTGAATTGTTTTAGAAATATATGTCGCATTTCTGGGTGCAGTTTCCAGGTGATGTTGCAGTGTTTGGTCGCCGCTTTCCATTCGAAATTCTAACAGTGCCTGGAAATTACCGCAAAGATTGGCATTGCCTGGATCATCATCTCGTCTACCTCTGAGGGCTACGTTGTTTTTTCCGCAGAAAATTATTGTTTTGAAAAGGGATTTAAGAATTTCGCGATTTCTATTGATTTGCTGTTGAAGTAAGTTGTTGATCTCCTGATTGATTGGAACCGCTTCTCTTCTAATGTTTTTCAAAAAATTCTCCATGGCAATCACTGCAAAATTATGCATCTCACATTTTCCGCTCGAGTGTTTGGTAAAACGTGAAACGGCGGACGTCCAAAGTGTGAGTGGAGACTTGTACAATTTGTCTAGTTTATTTGCATTTCGCCCACACTGGACTCCAAACAAAACACACGGTAAACAAAATACGCCATCGAGATATTTAGAGTATGCTAGCCAGGGAAATCTTTTCAGCCAGCTCCACACAAAATGACGGTTAGAATTCGAACATTCTACGGACGCTGGAAAGTCAAATAGCTCACCTGGTTTCCACACATTCTCTATGAACTTGAGCTTGTTCTGGTCTGAATATGAGCTGATTTCCTTGAAAACCAAGCCAATATCGTACTGAGAACAGTCCTCCTTCAAGCAAACTGGATCGCCTCGAACCATGATAGTTTATAAATGAAAATTCCCCGTCTTTGTCCCTAAGAAGTTAACTATGAAGTCTAATCGGAACAAGAACACGAAGGAACTCTGGGGGAGAGGGTTCCCTTTATATACGATTGTCAGTAGTTTCTACGGTAGTTTGCTGCCCAGATAGCCAATCACAACCGAGTTTGAGTAGTTCGCAAGACAATATGAGTGTTTCTAGCCAATCGAAGTGGGTTTTGAGTGATTTTTAGCCTCAATTGAGTCCCACCCCCTGTGTAAAAGTTTTCTCCGGTCGATCCTACGAATTTTTTCGCGTTGTTCTTGAAAGTATCGATTAAGAACGAAAGCGTACGAACAGAGACGACTCAGCGAACTTGCTGGGGAGGGACTGAGGCACTCTCTTCTTTATTTCATTTCATAACTTTAAAGAAACAATAAAACAAGAAGGATAATTGATTTCTTGAATACATTAAAGAGCCTGAGAAATAACAAATGCAGGTTTGGAAACATTTGAGTGATTTCTGGAAATCACTTGAACTACTCTGGATCCACCCCTGC